TGGCTGACCAAAACTTTTTTTTTCTGAGTTTCCTTTCTCAATCCCATGTAAAAGTTTGTATATCTCTATAAGGTCCATCTGAGGCATCTCCTTTCAAGACTGACATGCCCAGTCTTAACAATATTATTTATAATAACAATATTAATTATTTAACTTCATATCAGGAGAAAGTCTCAAAATGCTTCACAGGATATTACCGTAAAGGTTAGTGACTGTGTTTTCGATAGGGTGAGAGCAGCAGTCAATTTGTGCACAATAATATCCCAGAAACAGCCAAAAAAAGACTTAATTTTATCTGGAGGATTGTTTGCTAGGATCTCAGGAGAAATTCCAGTCTCTTTTCAAGTAGTGCCATGGGAGGCTGAACGTCCACTGTACAAGTAGACAGGGCCTCAGCTTAACATCTCATCCAAAGGATGGCACTTCTGACAACCTACTTTTCAATATATTTATCAATTGTAATAAAAGTGCAATAATATTTAAAATTGTTGACTGTTGAACACTGAGCTATATGGCTCAGCTCCCCGCTGCTTGAAAAATGACACTGTGACTTTCATTCTACGTCTATAATAATAATTCTTGCATTTGATACAGCACCTTATCACGTCTTTGAGATATTTCAAAGCGCTTCACAGGATATATTGTAAACTGTAATGACTTTAAGGAAGATGTTAGGGCATTGGAGAGGGTTACAAAGGAGGTTTACCAGGATGGTACCAGAAATGAAGGACCTAGTTATGAGGAGAGGTTAGCGAAACTAGGATTATTCTCCCTAGAGCAAAGAAGATTAAGAGGGGATTTAATAGAGATCATGAGAGGATTTGATAGGTTGAACTGGGAAAACTGTTTCCACTGTGCTGTGGGTCCGTAACCCAAGGACACTGATTTAAGATAGCTGTTAAAAGAAACGGGACGTTAGGAAAAACATTTTCACCCAGTATGTTCGGATCTGGAATACATTACCTGAAAGGATAGTGGAAGCCGATTCAATAACAACTCTTAAGAGAGAAGTAGATGGGTATTTGGGGAAGACAGGATTGCAGGGCTATGGAGAGAAAGCGGGCCAGTGGGATTGAGTTGGATTGCTCTTTTAGGATCCGGCGCAGACGCAATGGGCTGAATGGCCTCTTTCTGTGCTATGATTCTATGCTTCTGTGATTATATATTTTGTGGGCGAAATGCGGACAGCAGTGTCCCACAAACAGTGGTTGATTAAGTGACCAAATTCTTTTTTTTGAAGGGATTATTATCCCGGAAATCAATCCACCAATCAACTAACAGTTGGTTTCCTACTTACTGCTAGGTAAACAGAGGCGTGTGGAGTAAGGAAAGTTGCCTAAGGTTTCATCCTGCCCGGCAATCGAACCCAGGTCCTCTCGCTTGTGAGGTGACTGCTCTAACCGCTACACTACATCTGATAGTGTAGGAAAATAGTGCTTTCTTATAACAAGAGTATAAATTAATAATAAAATATTCACAGAATTTCACCTACTTGAATATTCACAGAATCAATATTTAATATTTAAACAAAGATGCATTTGGGGGTTTTAAATATTTTATGTATTTTGATATTTTAAAAAGTGCTTTAAATCTATGTGGCAGAAACATCACTAGATGGCACTGTTACTTTTTGTTAATCAGTTAGGTAGGTGTGTCTCATGTGGTTAAGTCCATCGCCATGTGTAGGAGTATCAAAACCAGACTGAGAGTTGCGCGAGTGCTATCTCCACATGAAAATGGCTCTATGTTTGGAATTAATGCACACTCTCTCTTTCTCGAGGGAGACACCCTACTAACCTAAATTCAGAGGCACAGGTTGACACGAGCAAAGGCTTTGGGACCCCTTGGCGTTCTTTAAGTTAACTGCTGGAATTTTATCAACTAAAACTGCATAGCTTGCCTTTCCTGTTCCTTGTCCATCTATGACCACCCTACCCATTAGGGCTGTGGCTGTTAACAGGCTGAGTGGGAAGAATCTCTGCTCCCAGTGAATTCCTTTCCCCACTGTTACCAAATGAAACACTTTTACTTAAACTGTAAAGCTGCTGTGCCAAGCTGATGATTGATTGATAATGAATATTTCTATCTGGAAAGTGAGAGGAAGTGTTTGGAGAGATGCTTTGAAAACAGTTACGTTTCTGGATTAGGTACTTTGCACACGAAATACACACTTTACAGTATATCGTGATGTGCTTTGAGACGTCTCAACACTGTGATATGGCGCTGTAGCAAATGCAATGATTATTATCATCCTCAGGGTATACATTTCTTTGAGCTCACGTTTCCAGTATGGCACTCCAGTGTAGGCCTGCATTGTCGGTGGTGCCGGCCTTCGGATGAGACGTTAAAAATGAGGTGAAGAAAGGATCTCATGTCACTATTAAAAAAGGGAAGGGTGTTTATCTCTCCCGGTGTCTTGGCCAACTATCCCTCAAATAAAATTGGTTGTTTACTTCATGGATGTTTGTGGGGCATTACTGTTTGCAAATTGAGGGTCACATTGACCTACAAATAACCACAGTGAATTGGATAATAAAAAATCGGGTGAATCAAAGACAATCTTTTGACATGAGCAGTGTTCTGGAATCCCTGTACATTCACCTGAGTCAAAAGGCAGACACAACCTAAATTAATGACTCACTAAACAGTTACCTGACAAATAGTAAGTGCATCGGAGAACTTAGGAACATAATAACCGTACAGGGATCTTTGAAGTCAGTTTTTACAGATTTTCATCATAAATACCTATGTCCTATTGAAAGTGAATCAAAGCAGATTTTTTCTGAAAGCCCCTGAAATTCTTTTGACTTTTTTCTGCTATTTTTGGCTTCAAGGATCCACAAGTCCATCACAGTCCCACCAATTGTAGTGTAAATCATGCCTCACTCCAGTACAACCTCGGAGCCCTGTGGCTCTGCATGTATAGCTGGTGTTTTGGGATGTATTGTTGGCGTCAAGAGTCTGTTGACCAATCTTGGCATCTTGAATATAACCTTCTCCAGGGGTCGTATGAGGTCATTTATACTTCTTCCTGACTTAGACGTGACCCCCTGCAGGACTGGGAGTGCAAAAGAACAGTCTCTTTCTCAGGAGTTACGAAAATCACAATGCTTTGGTTGCAAAAATAACAAAATTCACAACAACAACTTTCTTCTGGCAACTTAATAGGCCTATTACCATAAACACAGATGGGAACTTCAATTCTTTGTCCTGATTGGAATAACTTTTTTCACTTCAACTGACTTTATCCTCCACCCCCACATCAGCAGATTTAATGAACGTCAAAACATAAATATTTGATCCCCTAGCCCTGATCACAAGAGTGGTATAGATAAGGAAGGACCTTTGTCTCATGCACCTATTATAGCATTAAGCTATTTCTTAAGTAAGTCCAGCATCCTAGCCTCAATCAGTCTCACTGGTACCTGTTCCAGCCGTCAGTTACCCTGGGCATAAAGAAATACTTCCTGGTTTCTGGCTAGAAATTGCCCTTAACAAACCTGCTCTGCTCTTGAGACCTCAGGACCTGCAGCCTTAGAAAATGATCACATCACAGAAGGGTTAATATAACTGAAGGACACAGCGCTTGCAACAGATCAGCATTAACATTAGCATTCCAGGATGAACACCAGAAGGTTTATTTTAGTTAATCTCAAACTTTTCACCTCCACACTCTATAAGATAATGTTGGGGACTTTGAGCTCGTAGTCTAGGCTAAACTCCAACGCAATGCTGGGGGGAGAGCTGCACTGTTGGAGGAACCATCCTTCAGGTAAGATGTTATAAACCGAGGTTCTGTCTGCCTATTCAGGTGGACAGTAAAGCTGGCCAACAATTTCTAGCAGATATGATTATTCACTCACTTCACGGCTGTTTGTGGGACATTGCTGTGTGCAAATAGGGCGTGCTGAAGTGCATTGAAATATTTCAACATCAAAGGTACTATATGAAGTGCAAGGATTATTATTTTGATTAATTGCATTCGATGTGGTGCTTTATAACATCAAAACATCTAAAAACACTTATTGTGTCAAATGTAAAAAGACTTGCATTTGATATAGAGCCTTTCACATGATTGAGATGCCTCAAAAGTGCTTCATAAGATTTACTGCAAGGTGCAGTTACTGTGTATTCATAGGCAGATGTAGTACAATTTGAGCCAAGCAGTGTCCGACAAACAGCCATGAAATGAATGGCAAATTTTATTATTTGGGGACTGTTGGCCAGGACAGAAGATAAGAGTCTGTACTTCACACTGAGAGTAACGGCGGCCCATTTACCATTTAAAAATGTCATTACCACAGTCTCAAAATAGACCAGTTTTTTTAAAAAAAATCAACATCCTTTACAAAAAGAAAGACAAAAACAAATGCAAAAAAACATAATGTATTAACTGTTATCCAGACTTGGAGTTAACTCTTCTGCGCTCACCAGGAGCGCTCGAGAAAGAAGCATTGCATTTTCAACGCGTTCGATGAACTAGTGATTGCACTATAGTCCGAGGCAACAACAAAACTTGTATTTATATAGCGCCCTTCACGTGGGGAAGCGTTCCGAAGCGCTTTGTAGCACCCTTAAATTGCACTGTCGCCATCAATAGCCACACTTTAAGCAACTGACCATTAACGATACTTCACACAATATATTGCGGGTCCCTTTTTTAAACTTCCTCACCCCCACACTGCTTACTGCAAAATACAACCCTACGTTTCTGATACAGTTGAAGTAAGTCAGCTTATGTTGTTTGGGTCACACCTCAACGAATGACACTTACACAGCGTCTTTCACGTTGGAAGGATGTCCCGAAGCACTGGACAGTCAAGGATGTGCACCCGAACTGGAGGTTATGGGATTAGGAGGGGTAGAAGTCACGGAGGGTGGGGGTAGGAGGGTGACTGAAGGCGCTGTCACAGAAGAAGTTCTTGAGACGGGCCTTGAGAGAGACAAGGGAGGGAGCGAGATGAAGGTACTGTGGGATGGAGTTCGAAAGGATTGGGGCAGAGAGAGGTTGAACCCAACCGCCGATGGTGGGGCGGGCAGGCGGGGGGACCAGAATCCGACACAAATCATTAAAACAGCAAAAAATACTGTTACGTTATCACATAAAAATACGTATAAAAACTAGTGGAAGACTGCCAACTGGATCCATTTCCAGTATTTGGTAACATTTCTCTCCATAACATTTTGACTTCATTGTCCGGTACCACGTCCCTGCAGTTGAAAACGTAGTCACAGAAGTCGTCACTTGGTAATGCGTTCGAGGTTCAGGACTTGGATTTTATTCCGCATTTGCACATGATAGTTAAGGGTTTGGACACTGAGCTCCATCCACAGAGTTCACCCGCAGGCAGGGTGAACTTTGGTCACCTTTTCCGTTGTGTGCAATTTTCTTCCGCTAGTTCCCGATAAAACATGTAGACTTTCCCTTGCAGCAAACGTGTGTATGTGCGGAACAGATCCCGCACGCTTCTCCCCGTGATCGGCCTCGCTCGCTCGTACAATTGGTGCGATGTGTCCTGTGAGAGACAGCAGACGGACGTTTTTAGATCCTCGGAAATTTATCAGCTCAAATGCGTGCTTTATGGTAGTTTTCTGACAATTGCCATGTTGCACATTCTCACAGCGTTTGGACTTACATAAACGCCCTTCACACCACAATGAACGTTTTAACACGTTTCAAGGGGATTGCAAGAGGTGGGGAACTGAGTAGGGAGGGAAAAGACAATGTGAAGATGCTGATCAGACTCAAATCAAAAATGAAAGATACTGTAAAGTGGATTGACTATATTTTTGTGGGCCCAACGAGGCATCCAATTGTTCACAACACTGTCCCACAAACCATCATGGATTGAGTGACCAAATCATTATTATTATTAATACATTCTTCTTTCACCATTATTCAAATCTCATCCATCCCTCCATACTCCAATATTCCCCCGTTCCACATCACACAGCGCAGAAGTAATCCTATCCATGTTTGTGTTTGCCCATTAATGTCCGCACCTATTTATGCTTTAAAGCACTGAATTACTTAACATTATAAATATTAAACACTCTTTTCCATCTTGTAGTGGATAAGGAAACCACTGGGGCATTGAATGGAGACAGGCAGATTATCTGGACTCTCTTGGTCTATTAAATTAAATACAGATTTTCCATAGTAAAGTAAATGCTTATTCAGCAAAATCGTGGGATCTATATATTAAAAAANGGCACAGTGATATTTAGTGCACTCCCCACTCCAAAATAACACAGGGATTTTTTTGGAGGGTGTGGGGGGAGTCAAAACATAATGGGTTTTCTGAAGATATGTATCTCGATGTATTATACAGCTCTACAACCCCTATTAGCTGTGTTGACTGACGTTGCTGTTAGATAAATTTGGGGCAGACTTTGGCACAAGCCTCTCCTCTATCCTTGCGCATGCTGCCAAGTGATATAAACATGTGTACAGCCACAATGTACACACATTTCCAATTACGCCCTTTGTGCCTGGGATAATAAAGACAAGCTGATTTAAATATTCTAATCAATACCTTATGTCAGAACTTATTGCGGTTGTTGATGCAACTTATGGTTGCAATGAGCCTCTTCCCCCGCTACCCCCCCCCACCCCCGGTCCAATTGTTTGCTGACGTGGACTGTTCGGGCTCCACATGCGTGGCCATTCACATCAATTGCAGAAGAGTGACCAGTGATGGTGGAACCGAATCTTGACGGTAGCAAAAACAGGGGTCAGACATATTGAGAAGAGCAGGACACACAACTGACAGAAACAAATTGAGTGGAACCTGATTGCGTATTGCGCTTAGGGTTAAGATTCCATTCCAGACACACGGAGGGCCCCACATTGTAGGTGGCACATGTGTGGAACTTACTGTCTGGTTTGGATATTATTACATTCTTTTTGGTCAGCCGCGTGTGTTGCAATAAACCTCCTCCCCCGCTCCCCCCCCCACCACCACCAACTCCCCACCCTGTCCAATTGTCTGCTGACATGGACTGTTCAGCCCATTACTGTGCTTAAGAGTATTCAAACCAAGATGAGATTTCCATGCATCCCATCTTCGCATGGGAATTCCAGAGAGAGATTGTTGCAATGGAATGCACACTCTCTCCCTGGAGGAAAGCATCCTGCTTACCTAATTCCGGAGAGTATTAGGCGCAGGTTGGCAAGAGCGTGTGTTGGGGTAACTGCTGGAGTCTAACCAGCTAAAACCACAGCTTGCCATTGATATCGCTGTCTGGCAAGCTTTCCCGCTGCTTGTCCAGCTAAGACCACCCTACCCGTTAGGACTTTGGCTTGCATGGTTAACAGGAGTTGAGTTGGATACTATTACAGCACAGTTATAGGTTTCCACATATGTCAGACACTCGGCAGACCGAAAAATAAAACATGTAGGGATAGAAATTCCACCTTAGTCCAGGATTTAACTCTATTTTCTTAGCATTTCAAAGTGTCCAGGAAATTCTTAAATTTTGGAGCTGGTTTCCTGCAAGTTTTTTTTTAAGACTGAGTTCAACAATTTGTCAAAGAAAAACAGAGTAAATCCAGGTGGAATTTTCCCCTCAAGGAGCATTAATAACAACTTGCATTTATACAACACCTTTCACGAAGGGTGACACCTCAACCACAAAAAGTTGCACTTACATAGCGCCTTTGATGTCAGGAGGACATCCCAAGGCACTGGACAATGAGGGGTTCGCTTCTGAGCTGCAGGTTGGGATCAGAGAGGGGTGGACGGCCGGGAGGAGATGGTGAAGGAGCAAAGATGACCAAAAGCAAGGTCAAAAAGGTCTTGAGGTAGGCTTTGAAGGAGCTAAGGAAGGGAGCGAGGCGTAGGTGCTCCGGGATGGAGGTACTGAGGAGTTACAGAGGACAGGGGCAAAAGGGAGAATGGATGGAGGTGGGGGAGGTGACCAGAGTCACGGTTGAGGAGGTAAGTTTTCAGGAGACATTTAAAGATGGAGGAAACGAGGTGGAGAGATTCAGGAAGGGGGTTCCAGAGAGTAAAGGCAAAGTAGCTGAAGGCTTGACTGCCAAATGAGCAGATTCCAGGGGCTTATTGTTTTTCAGAGCGCTCGATTAGTGGAGTAGAGGGAGTAAAAGGAGAAGAGGACAGAAGTAGTCAGAAATACGATTATAATTCTAGGTTTTTATATATCGTTCAACATCATGGAGGCCATCTTCAGTTTGTCCAAGATATTGAGGTGACAGGTTGAGTATTGGATCTGATGAGTAGCAGAGAAATCTAATCGAGGCTTACAAAACCTAAAAATGAACTTTTGTTTTTTGATAGGGCAAATAGAGAAAGACTCCAGTATTTCCATGGATTATTTCAGTCAGTCCAAAAAAGAACATGAATCGAGGATTAAAGCCAGAAAGCTGTTGGAATAGAAAACATTTTACCGCAAGTTGCTGTTGAAGCCAAGTTCATAACAGTGTTGAAAAGGAATTGTATAAACACTTGAGGCAAAATGGTATTTAATGATTATGGCGAAATGAGCAATGGAATGAGGTTTGGTGGATAGCTCTTGTGATTGGTGAGGAGGGGGAGGAAGGGACGGGGGGAGGTGGGGTCGAAGGGGGGAAGGTGGGAGGGGAAGCAGCACAGACACAAAGGTCCAAATGGCCCCCTTCTGTGCTGTAAACATTGTGTGACTATGATTTTAAGGAGTTTGAATAGTAGAAATCAGATTGAACAGCTGCAGTCAGTATGCAAATAACTGCAGTAACAGTTAACAAAGATACGAGTTACAAAAGTTCAAAGAGGTTAAGGTAAACACAACAGCTTTGCCCACGTAACAAACAAACTTCACTTCCCATTCACTTCATACGCACCAGAACCAGGAACGATTTGAAAGAAACAATACTGTTCATCCTGATTAATAAAATCCCAATGCTTTATTTATATCACCGGAAGTAGATTTCAACCTGGCTCCTCTGTCGATAGCACTCTCGCCTTGGAGTCAGAAAGGTTGTGGGTTCAAGCCCTACGTCGAGGGGGGAGGAGGGGGAAAGTGCTGCGGTATCAGAGGTGTTGTCCTTTGGGTGAGATGTTAACTCAAGGACTCGTCTGCCTGTTCGGCTGGGAGTTTTTCCCAGTGTTCCTGGCTGACAATTCGGCAGGTAAAATTGGTCATTCACTTCATGGCTGTTTGTGGGACGTTGCTGTGCGCACATTGTCTGCCGTGTTTGCGTTCAAAATATAGCGTCGATAAAATTTTACAGCACTATCCTGTGAAGCACTTTGAGATGTCCTTCCAACATGAAAGGTGCCATATCAAATGCGAGGGTTATTATTTAGTGTTATTAGAATGAGATTTAACGTAACTGAATAGAACACCATAAAAAAATGACACAAGTTAGTCATAAACAGAGTATGGTGGGAAGATACTGGGTAATAGTAACAACTTGCACTTATATAGCACCTCTCAGCCAAGGGAGTCCTGTGGCTCAGTGGTTAGAGCACTCGCTTTGCAAGTGAGAGACCTGAGTTCAATTCCAGGCAGAGGGCGAAACCTTGGGCAAGTTTCCTTACTCCACACAGAGCCTAATAATAATCCCTCCCAAACCAAAAACAATAATAAATTGGTCATTTTCAATCTACGACTGTTTGTGGGACATTGCTGTGCGCAATTGGCTGCCGCGTTCGCCCACAAATATACAGTCAATTCACTTTACAGTGTGTTCTGTGAAGCGCTTTGGGACGTCCTCCCGACGTGAAAAGCGCTATATCAAATGCAAGGATTATTATTTTATTATTTAAGGGTAATATCCCAGAGCACTTAATACTCACCGGCACATTCAGCAATTGCAGTATGTGAATGAAAGTTCGAATATTCCTGTATATTTTGTCTAAGAGAGCTACTGTGGAATTATTCATGGTGAGCAGTTTTGCTGTCTGGATTGCATTCGAAAGCATGATCAAGCCTTCCTTAATCTCCGCGGCCTTTATAGATCTCTGCAAAGAAAAAGAAAACATTTTTTAAAAAAAGTTGCATTTCACTTTCAGTTTACTTGGGTTTCACTGCCCGCTCTCCCCCTCCACTCAGCAGGTTCCCTCCTGCTCCACGTTCCCCATCCGGCCCACCCCAACATTGGCTGTCGCGCCATCAGCCTCTCTGCCCCCATCCTTTGGAACTCCATCCCTTTGCCTCGCTCCCACCCTTGCCTCCTTCAAGGCACACCTCAAGACGCTCCTCTTCCACCGTATCTTCGGCCACACTCCTACCCTTTTACCCTTTTCGTTTTGAACTGCAGCAACCCAAAGGAAATCTACTCAGGATATGGTTTCTTATCACAGCGGCTCATCACATCACACTTCCTGTCCTTGGAAGGAGTCCCCATTTACGTGACGTATTAAGGAACCCACTAAGATGTACCGTAAATTAGACCCTATCTACCAACTCATCATGTTGTTAGACATATGCTTATGCCGCAGACAAATTGTCATTTCAAGAGCCTGATTATTAGAAGTCAGTTTCTGTTCATGATGTTAGTCCATTTCAGATGTTATTACAGGGCAGAAACTGCCATCACTTAAGGAGCTGGTTACTTACACTTTTGGATCTCCAGGCTCTCAGGTTAAGGCCAGTGCTCGGAAGAAGAATTGCATCAGGAAATTGACACAGCCCATAGCACTGCATCAGAAAAATAAAACACTTCAACTTCAATTGGAATATAAAAGAAAAGGGTTTTGACTAAAGAGCCAATTCCTTCCTTTCCCATTGTTAAATAAAGATTCCTTTGGGTGAAGTTATTCTGAGAAGGTCATATTTCTGCCAAATTAATTGCGTTTAATTTTACTGTTAACATGGCTGTTGCTTGAAATCAGAACAACAACTTGTATTTACACAGCAGCCCTCACGCAGAGTAGCGTTCCAGAGCATTTGACAGTGGCAGAGCAGGACACTGAGCCAGGGGGAGGTGACCGTAAGCACGGTCGAAGAGAAGGTCTTCAGGCACGACCTGAAGATGGGGAAGGAAGGGGCAAGGCGGAGGCATAGAGGACAGAGTTTTGGGGCGCAAGAGTGGCATAAGTGGCTGAAAGTGATGGTGGAACAGAATTAATGCTATGCAAAGGCTCGCAAGTTCAACAGCCAATGTTCATGCGCCTAGAATGTCTTGGCTCTAAAGCAGTTCTCTGAATCTCTGGTATAGGCTGTACTAGTCTGTAAAATAATCTGGAACAGTACTGCCACCCAGGCATTGGATGGGACTTGGTTTATTGGCAGCAATGTGTGGAAATCAGCTGACAACATCTGGATCCTATTCAGTCGTTAAAGATTTCAGTGCATTGAAAAGTGAAAACTAAAAGGGTGAAGATAACATTTAAATATAGATAGGCTTTGATGTCCTCATCCCTCAAAGCTACATTCCATACAGTCACAACATTGTGCACCTTCTCCTCTGACTCCCTCTCCCCTGAGCATTAACCTGGCTTGGATGTGAGCACTCTCACTCTGGGTCAGAAGGTTGTGGGCTCAAACCCCTCCTTGGAACCCTGCATTGTCGGAGGTGCACTCATATGGACTTGAGGTTGTGTTTGGATGTTAAAGATCCCGACACTGGAAAAGAGAAAGGTGTTTCTCTTGTCATTCTGGCCGCAATCTGCCAGGTAAAACTAGTCTCTTGCTTGCTGTGAACAAATTAGCTGCTGTGTTTCGACAAAACAATCTCTACTACATTTGACAGCAATTTACCTCTAATGTGCTTGTTTAACATTCAATTAACTGCAAGGATTTATTATGGATGGACTTTTTGTCTTTGCAACCATTATAATTTCTACATTAAGTTTTTGCAAAGGTACGCTAAATTAGATAAATAATAGTAATAATTCCTGCATTTGGTTTTGAGCCGTAACACGTCGGAGGGATGTCTCAAAGCTCTTCATGGGAAACAAACCTCTTTGCTATTGTAAAGGGGAGAAGGAATTCGCAGATGCATACCAGATGGACATCTGCCTGAGCTTTGAGTTGGGCAAGGTGAATAGGACAAGGAGACGATACAAAGGGAAGAGAAAAAAAGTGGTGAAAGCCATATAATAATAATTAATAAACCTCTTTGTTCTTCAAAAACACTATAGATCATAAACATATCTCTAGAAAGATATAAGTGCGGTGGAAATGATTGCAGCCTTAACCAGCTAATAAATATGAAGACCTGTAGCATATTGGTTAGAGCGCTCGCCTCACAAGCGAGAGGACCCTGGATTCAATTCCCGAGCGGGTCAGGGCGAAATCTTAGGCAAGTTTCCTCACTCCATACGCCTCTGTCTACCAAGCAGTAAATAGGAACCCGGTCAATAGTCGATTGGCGGATCTTTTTCTGGAGGTAATAATCCCTAAAAAAAAATTTGGTCACTTAATCCACTGTTTGTGGGACACTGCAGTGCGGAACTGACTGCCGCGTTTCGCCCACAATTATACAGTTAATTCACTTTACGGTATATTCTATGAAGTGCTTTGAGACATCTCAATGACGTGATAAGGTGCTATAGCAAATTCAAGGATTATTATGAGTATTAAAGTGGAGCCAGAGTAGCAAGCGAGCCAAATGTGACTGAGTACAGTACCTGCCCTCGGTTTGGGTTCATATTGGAAGAGAAGACATGTACCTTATATACAGTTTCATCTGCAGACGTGTCAGCCTCTGCATATTTCCCCTTTACAAGTTTCGTGTTTCAACCACCGACCCATTACCCACATCCTATGCATTCTGCAGCCTGCAGATAATTCATTTCACAGCTTACAGTGATTTTAGGGAAAGTCAGACAAGCTGTCCCTTCCACTCTCCCAGTTCCCTTCCCGAGCCTAAAACTGCATCTGGCCCCAAAAATCACAAAATCACACACCCTCAGCAATTATCTGGCTGTAAAGTTCAGAAATTCACTGCCAACTGGATGTATCTGTCACTGGTCAATATCAAAGCCTTTCTCCCTTGGGTACATCAACACATCTTGCTTTCCAGCACCTCAAAGAACATTTATTGATATATTCCGACAGTGGCTCGATGCAAATCGCTAAGAAAAACTGGTCATTCAATCCACGACTGTTTGTGGTACGTCGCTGTGCGCAATTGGGTGCTGTGTTCCGACCGCAAAAATCAACCATCGGTGCACTTTGAAACATATCCCGTGAAGCGCTTTGAGACGTCTCGAAGGCGCGATAAGGGGTTATACCAAATGCAAAGATTATTATCAATACTTATTCAGCGGAGATTCCCTTTTTTTTCCCCCGAACAGTCCTTTCACAGCAAGTCAATCTTGCCCTGGCTGTGGATGCACACAAGACTCCTTCTTGCAAAGCAAAAGGCTTGGTTCAGTGGGGATGCAACGTGAAGGGGCAGCTGTGGCAATACAACACAAACACAAACTCAAGTCTCTTACCACTGAGTTCTGCAACCCTTTCGCCTCCCTGATGTATCTGTCCAGGACTCGACTGTCGCACAGAGGGCGTGAGGGCAGCATCCTGGCCAGTTTGGTTTGCACAAGAAACGCTACCAAGAGCAAAAGTCCTGCAGAGAGTCACACAGAGAGAGAGAGAGAGAGACAGTCAAGAGAGTCAGACACACACACACACACACACACACACACAGAGAGAACCAGGCAGTACATTTCCCCAATAAAACACTCTTTAACTTTACAACTCTCTGCTCCCCCCCCCCCCCAGCAACTCTGAAGAGTTCCCCCCTAACCCCCTCACCCACACTCTCTCCCCCCCACACTCTGCCCCCCTCTCCCCTCCCTACACACCACACACACAAAGTCAACTCAACCACCTTCCCCTCATTACGCAACCTCTATGATTCCAGGTGGGGATTTAACAAAAATAGGATAAAGTCCACTGACTTGGACAATTCACAACATGAACCAAGTGCATGTTGTGTTAATCCCCTCCACCCCCTCCACCCCCACCTCTCCCCATCTGTCTCCCCCCCCCCCACCCACCCACACACACCCCCACACACACAGCAAACAACGCGAACTGATGGGATTCCTTTCAGGAAACTTACTCGAATCCATCCCCAGTTTGGCTCTATCCTTCTCTTGTCCGTTTGCACCCGACATGGCTCGAGTTTCGTTCCATTTAAACCGTGTGAGACACAGACAGAGACGAGCATTGCACGTTTGAGCTCACACCCTCCCTCCTCCTGGTCGTCTTTCCAGTTGGGAGAAAAGTGACATTAAAATTTTTTTTTTTTTTTTTTTAACCCCCACCACCACCACCACCCACCCCCACACACAGACACAACACCCTCCCACCCCCCCACCCCCCCAAAAAAAAAAGAAATGCAATTCTTATTCCCTTTAAAAAAAAAGAGAGAAGTTGCCAACTATCCTCTGATGAAATTATTCCTCCTGTCTCCTGGTGTGTGGGGATATCTGAATGCTAAGCTGATAATTTATTTGCACCCACCCTCCAAAAAAAAAATACCCAGTGAGCTCTCACTCAGATAGATTTTCGCGACGTCAGGAAAGCACAGATGAAAGACCCTGAGATTTACAAATACAACATCCGAACGCTTTTGGGAACGAGTTAATGTTTTACAGACTTTTTGCAGCAGTTTCCCTGGACGAGTGGATCATTCCTGTGGAGAGAGAGAGAGAGAGAGAGTCCCTGATGTGCCACACACAAGCCACCCAGGGATTAATAGCACCCTGGGGTGCCAGCAATCAATGGCTTAGCTTCGCAATGGACAAGGAAGGCATTTAAGCTCATTCTGATGCCAAAGGGGTTGGATGCAAAGGGTGAGGAAAGGAAGCTTTATTGCCTTCTGTCCAACACCACTGCTCCACAAAGCCTCACTCTGCCTGTGATCAATCATTTACTCCTTTTTTTTTTCAATTTCCTTCCCCCCACCGCCCTGCACCGACGCCACAGTTGAAGGCGGTTCCGTTGGTTGCAAGTTATTAGGAATACTCTTAATAACAGTCGATACGTTAATGCAACGTTGGGCAATGCAATGGCAACGCGAACACCTGCGCAAGGAGAATCCGGGGGGGGGAGTGAGCTTGAGGGAAGGAGCTGAGATGATCATCCTTGCATTTGGTGCAGAGCCTTATCACGTCGTCGAGACGTCTCAAAGCACCTCATGTGATCTACCGTACTGCATAGCGGATCCGCTGCGTATTTTATGATAATAATAATATTAATAATAATCCTTGCATTTGATATAGTGCCTAGTCACGTCATCGGAATGGCTCAAAGCGCTTCACAGGATATACTGTACTTTGAAGTGGGTTGACTGTGGATTTTATGGATGAAACACAGCAGCCGATTGCACACAGCAATATCTCACAAACAGCCGTCGAGTGAGTGACAAATTTGAGACGCAGAACTCAACTGTTGTCAGTATAACAAAAGTTACTATACTTTCTATTTACATTGCATTTGCTCACAGCCAATTGAGAGAAACCACCTTGTGTGATTTTGGTTATGTTGATTTACACCTTTCCTTTATTGATAACAATGGTAAAGCAGTAATAATCTTTGCATTTGTTACAGCTCCCTTAATGTCGGAAGGCTGTCTCAAAGCGCTTCATGGAATTTACCGAAAAGTGTAGTGACTGTGTATTTTGTACGTGATCCAATTTGCAATGTCCCACAAACAGCCATGAAGTGAATGACCAATTTATTTGGGGGTTTGTTGGCCAGGACACTGGGAGAAACTGTGTTCTCTTTTTGTATAATGCCATGGAATCTTTAACATCAAACTGAACGGCAGAAGGATGTCATCTCGAACAACACAGCACAACTCAGCACAGCATGGGAGTCCCAGCCTTGACTTGTGAGTTCAAAGTCCCAATGTCGAGCTTGAACCCACATCCTTCTGACTCATAGAATCATAGAATTATACAGCACAGAAGGAGGCCATTCGGCCCGTTGTGTCTGTCCCGGCTCTTTGAAAAGAGCTATCCAAATCAATCCCACTCCCCCGCGCTCTCCCCTTAGCCCGCAAACTTGTCCTCCCCAAATAATTATCTACTTCTCTCTTAAAAGTTGTTATCGAATCGGCTTCCACCGCCCTTTCAAACTCGAAGGTGAGAGTGCTACCAACTGAGCCACGCTGACATCTTTTGTGCAGAGTACAGCCCACACACATCCAGTGGTGAATAAAAACCTTCTTGTCTAACTATGTTGAACTAGGGTAATGTTCTATTGGAGAATCTGGTACTGTGGCTCACCTGTAACTAACAGCCTCCAATCTCAGACATGATTTTACTGACCCCATTGCTTGTGTTTTTATATCTGAGAGAGTTTATGCCCAAAGCCTCAAATGCCCTCTTGAGACATAGTTTAAAAAGGAATCTTTACATTTGATATAGCTCTTTATCACCTCATCAATATGTCTGAAAACTCTTTACTGGATTTTATTGTAAAGTGCAGAGGACAGCAGCCAATTATCACACATTAATGTCCGACAAACAGCCAAGTAGAGAATGATTGGTTTTAGGTGGAGGATTTTTTGCCAGGACGCATTCCCTTTGATTTGTGCCATGGAATCTTCACCTTTGCCCTTTGTCTACAAAATACACAGTCACTACATTTGACAGTAAATCCTGTGAGGAACTTTGGGACTTCCTCCTGACTTGAAATGCAGCATATCACATCCAAGGAATAGTATTATTATTATTATCTTTAATATCCATTGAATAGGCAAATAGGCATGGCCTCAGTTTAACATCCCATCCAAAGGAAGGCACCTCAGACAATGCTATTCTATAATGTTAAATATATTTCTCCTATTTGATAGAGCTAACATCATCACGCTCTAATTCATGGGCCAGTCTTTCGATATTAATTGGAAAAAANCTTATGAAGATTCTAAGTCCACTTTCACCCAGAAGAGGCATATCAGCACTCTGCTCTCACATGATTTCACACATCATTAAATATACTTTTATTTTAAGATAAAAGCACTGACATTCTTCAATTATTTACCTTTAACATCCACAAGATGTTTCAGAGCGCTTCACAGAATATATATTGTAAAGTGGACTGACTGTGTATTTTGTGAGTGAAATGTGGCAGCCAGTTGTGTGCAGCAGCATCCCACAAACAGCCATGGAGTGAGTGTCCAAATTTATTTGGGGGATTGTTGGCCAGGACGCTGGGAGAAAGAAACTCCTTTCTTTTTATGAATAGCGCCACAGGATCTTTAACGTTTACTGGGACCTCGGTTTAATGTCTCATCCAAAGGACGGCACCTTTGACAACTCAGCACTCCCCCAGCACTGCATTGGAGTGTGATTCCAAGTCCTTTAGGGGCTTGATTTGACAAGTTCTATAAAGTAGTCTTATTCTAAAGTAATTGAACCTATGGCAACAATTTGGATTTGGAGTGGGGCCTGAAACCAGGCTGGAGATTCCAACTGCAATCAAAGCACTCGAGCTAAAACGTTCTTGTTATCCAGTAAACATCTGGTACCCTCAAGGAGGGATTCCTGCGCTGTGATTTGTCTGCTCAACGGAGCAGGACTCGGGGTATGAGCCAGGCTAGCTGTGTAGGATTGTTGTGGTCGGATGATTTGTTGCAAAGCTTTGCTGCACAGAAGAAGCTACTATAGGGAATCAATGAAGATTGCTTCTCTCCTATGGATGGTGCCAGCCTGGTTCTGTTGATTAAAAGCTCTTGCCTCGGGGTCAGAAGGGTTTGAGCCCTACGTCAGCACTTCGAGATTACATCTGACACTCTAATACGTGCTGGTGGTGAGGGTGTGAGGAGCACTGCATTGCTTGAGGTGCCGTCCTTCGGATGAGCTGTTGCAGAGGTCGGTTCTACCTGTACAGGTGGACATTAAAGATCCACTGGCCTCTATTCAAAAACAGAAGGGAGTTTGACCCGTTAACCTGGCTGACAATCTCTCAGTTAAAATTGAGTGTTTGCTTCATGGCTGTTTAGTGCATTATTGCTGTGCACATTGGCTGCTGTGTTTGCCTACAGAATAAACAGTCAGTGCCCTTTACAGTAAATCCTGTGAATACTATGTACGCATCTCAATGATAAGGCGCTATAACAAATGCGAGGGTTACTATTATTTATTATTAAGATATTTACAAGAAATTGTGGGATTCACAGTAAAGTTAAGTGACTGTGTATTTGTAGTGAATGAGGCAGCCAATACTAAACTCAACATCATACTCACAGTATTTGGTATTTCGCTTTAAGGTGGAGTTTTGCTACATTTAGTTTCCAGATGGCTTTGGAATTTCGACAAGATGATATTGCCTGTCATTTTAATGTCAGTTTGTGAGCTGTCTTGGTTGTGTAACAGACCTATAGATGTCAGCCTGGCTCTCACGTCTGGGTCAAGAGATGGTGATTTTAAGCCATATGTCGGGACTTGAGCTCACAGTGTATGCACTGTAGCATAGTCAGAGATAATAATAATAATCCTTCCTTGCATTTGATATAGCGCCTTATTATGTCTTTGGGGTCTCCAAGTGCTTCACAGAATATACTGTAAAGCGAATTGGCTGTGTATTTTGTGGTTAAGCATCAGATGAGATGTTAAACCCAGGGTTCTGTCTACCTGTTGGCATTGAAAACCTTGTGAAACTATTGGAAAGGAGAAAGAGGTTCTCCCTCCCATGCACTGGCCAAGATGTATAGGTTATTCATCTTTCAGCTGTTTGTGGAACTTGCTGCCATGCTCGCTTGCAAAAGTCAGTTAGTCACTACACTTGACAGTAATAATCCTTGCATTTGATCTAGCGCCTATTCGTGTTGAAATATCTCAAAGCTTTTCACTGTAGTTACTTAGTTATGTTTGTAGGTAAACACAGCATCCAATTAATGCAGTGCAAAGTCCCACAAATTGCCGTGAAGTGAGTGACCAATTTTATCTGAGGATTGTTGGCCAATACACCGACCGGGAGAGAAAGAAACTCTCTTCTCTATTACGATTAGTTTTGCTAGTGAGCCCAAAGCCCCCAACATATGAGTTGAACCCACAACGATCTGAAGCAGAGCGCTCCCAGCTAAGCCAGACTGGACAGACACTGATTAACTACGGAAAATACAGCAAAAAGCACCCCAGAGACGATCTGTTAAATGCAACTTTTCCCCCCATCTTGCTTGTCCATCAGGCCAGCAGATGGCGCAGGGTGTGTATGTTAAAAACCCTCAACTTTGACTGTGAAACAGTAGGTGGCATCAGCAGCCGCTTGCTTTGCCTCCAGGGTCTCCCTCCAGGGTCTGAGTCACATCGAATGGTAGCTA